CTTAGGGGGAGGGGGTGGGGGAGGGGATGAGGACGGTGAGGGCGGCTGGGGCAGACGGGAAGGCAGCACAGGCGAGGCGCGGCGCACCTCAAACTCGAGCGAGTAGCGGGAATATCACCCGCTGCTCCGGCGGGAGAGTGCTCCCCCGCCGCCCCCTGGGTCACCCCGAGTGACCTCGCAGCCCACGCCGTGAGGCGCTGCTGTCAGGGGGGTTTATCACCGCCGTATCCACCCCACACTGGCCGCCGAGGGGCCCGGCGGGCTGAGGCGCGCGAGGCGGCTTTCGCTCCCGCGGGGCGGCTCTACCCGTCTCAGCACGGCGTCCCGAGGTGTAGCCGTGTACCTGGCGGCAGGGCCATCACTCACACGCCTACTCGCGGCACAAGGGAAGGCGTGACGCGATCGCGAGAGGCGAGATGGGTGATGGCGAGACTGTCGTTTGGCCAGTTTGAGGCTGAAAGGATGACCGCGGACGATGAGGGCGACGATTCATCGCGGCTACTGAGCAGGCAAGGTCCGGACCTACAGGATGGAGGGGCGAGTAGTGAGACTCGGGACCATATCTTCGCGTCGAGAGACGAAAATCCGGATTCTTGGCCGCCAGCGCCGCCGGCCGCCGAACGTCACTTAAGGGAACTGCGCGACGACGACGACATTACTGAGGTGCTGCTTTCACCACCGCCCTTCTGGTGGTGTTTGCCGGTCGGGGGGGCGTCGGCAGCACCGCCGTTCCGCGCGGATGTTGCAAACGGTGGCTCGGGGCACCTATTTCGGCAGCCCCGGGGCGGGAGCCGAGGAGGGGCAGCCGTTGCGGTGGCGCCATTGCAGCTCGGCGGCGCGTGGGGAGCCGAGCGGCTCCCAGCGATCCCGCGAGAGAAGGGCCCGCATCCGTCACGGATGCCGCGCCCACGCTGCCCACGCAAGCGCCAGATGGGAGAGGAGGTTGGAAGCCTTTCTGCGCTTCGAGGTGCAAGATAACTCCGGCGATATTTCAGCGGGAGGAAGCCAGGTGGGGTTTAGCCCAATTAGTCTCGGGTTACCATAACCCATGCTGACGTATGCCCCCCAGCCGCATGGGTTAGTGCCGGGTTAGTGCCGGGTTAGTGCCGGGTTAGTGCCGGGTTAGTGCCGGGTTATGGTAACCCATTCTGACCCGTGCTGACCCGTGCCGGGTTAGTGAGCACTAACCCGCGCTAACCCGCGCTTACTGATAGACTCACTTCAAAGCCCTCCCGGCCGGACGGAGCTAGGGGCACGCAGTCCGCCCCCATCCTAGGCAGAGCGGTGAGGAAGGCGAGGCGCTCCCACAGGATCGCGGCCGAGCCGAGCGCCTCGCACTGCTTGGTATGATCCTCCGTGCACTCGGCCGACTTGTATCCGGAGGTGCAGAGGCCGTTGAGCGCGTCGCACTCGTAGTCGCCCGGGACCGCGTACACGTAGGTGATGAAGACCACGAGGCAGATCATGATGACGGCGGTGTGGATGTACGAAGCGAGGAAGGTGGCCTTGAGGCCGCCAAACCAGGTGTAGAGGACCACGCCGAGCGGGATAAGGAAGTTTGCGGCCACCGGGTGCATGCCCGAGCAGGCCGTCATCACCGCCGAGCCGCCCTGGAGCAGCATGCCAGTCACGATGAGGTTGGTGCTGATGCCGAAGAAGAGGAAGGTCAGGTGGGCCGCCTTCCCCCAGCGGATGTCGACCATCTCGAGGAAGGTGTGCATGTTGGGCGCCTTCTTCTTGATCTCGATGGCGAGGATGCCAAAGAGGAGGATCTGGATCGTTGCGCCCGCGGCGTACCAAAAGGGACCTGCGATGCCGTACTGGCTCGCCTGGTTTGACGACTGGAGGAGCGTCGCCGCCCACGTCCACTGGGATACGATCACCTGCGCGGGCGGGCGCAGGGGTTGACTCTCCGCCGCCGCAAGCGATGTGGGCGCGCCGCGGGAGAACTGCCGTTCCAGGCGTGGAGAATTGGAGGAGGCGCATCGGGACAGGGGGAGGCGCGCGCCGAAGCCGTCAAACCCGTCTTGATGTTGCGGCCGGCCGTGTTGAAGTTCTCGGAGGAGAGGACGAGGCCGCCGTACGTCTGCAAGGGAGGGGGGGTGGGGTGAGACGGCGGTTGGTGCCGCCGAGAGAGCGTTCAGCGTCCAGAAGAGAGCTCTCTGGGAGGGCGGCGGACGGGCGGACGCGGCGGACAGGCGGCAGGCGGTGCCTGCTCAAGCTTGACCATGATCGAGGTGATGATCGAGAACATGATGCCGAAGCCGCACACGAGAAGATAGCCGGCCCAGAGGGGCATAAACGCCCCAGTAAAGTTGCCGCCGTTGTGCTGGTCGTGGTCACCCTTGTA